ATAATAATAATAACAAATAATAATAACAAAGGCAAATTTGATGATTTTTGGAAAAAATAACCAAAGGAAAACATGTTGCTATGTGTAGATTTTATTAGACATAGGAACTGCTATTACTGATAGACTTTAGGAGGAAAACTTTCATGCCTAAAATTTCACATGATACTGAAGTAGGACAAAGTTTTAATACTTCTGTTGTGCTGTTATGTACAGCTGGGATTTGAAACACTTATCACTTATTTACAAGACAGACATGTTGACCAATAAAGCCACAGTACCAGAAAAGAAAGTGTACACAGATAGCCTTTTGGTTTTGTATGTAAACAAAGCATTGGTTAAAAAAGAAATAATCAAAGCCACAGAACTTGAAGGAAAACGAGTGCAATTTTGACATTTTTGGAACAAATTAACAATAGAATGCATGTCAATATTTATTGGTTTTAGTAGACTTAAGAACTACTATTTATCATAGGCTTTATGAAGGCTTTTTTTAACGCATAAGAATCAGATCTAACTGAAGTTGGAGTAAGAGATTTAAGAATTCTAACTTGCAGTCAAGTACTGCTGTGATTTGAACCCAGGATCTCCTGTTTACTAGACTGGCACTTCGACAAACTAAGCCACAGTACCGTTTTCAACTGCATGCACAGGTAGACTTTTGGTTTTGTATGTCAAAACAGCATTGGTAAAAAGATTAGTAATCAAAGCCAGAGAACTTGAAGGAGAATTAATGTACCTTTGATGGTTTTTGGAAAAAAGTACCCAAGGAAAGCATGTTAATAATCATAGGTTTTAGTAGACTTTAGAACTACTATTAATCATAGGTTTTGTGAAGGCATTTTTAACACATAAGTATCATATCTATCTGAAGTTGGAATAACAGCTATAATAACTCTTAGTTGTGGTTAGGTACTGCTGGGATTCGAACCAAGGATCTCCTGTTCACTAGACTGGCACTTTGACCGATTAAGCCACAGTACTTGAAAAGATAGTGTACACAGATAGACTTTTGGTTTTGTATAGTATGTAAACAAAGCATTGGTAAAAAGAGAAATAATCATAGCCACAGAACTTGAAGGAAAACGACTGCACTTTTGAAGCTTTTGGAACAAATTAACAAAAGAATGCATGTCAATTTTTATAGGTTTTAGTAGACTTAAGAACTACTTTATATCATATACTTTTTAGATGTTTATATTTATTTTTAGATATTTATCATAGACTTCATGAGGGCTTTTTTGACACATAAGTATCAGATATAACTGAAGTTTGAGTAACAGCTTTAATAATTCTAGCTTGCTTTCAGGTACTGTTGGGATTTGAACCCAGGATCTCCTGTTCACTGGACAGGCACTTTGACCATCTAAGCCACAGTACCATTTTCAACTGGATGCACAGGTAGACTTTTGGTTTTGTATGTCAACAAAGCAATAGTAAAAGGTTTAATAATCAAAGCCACAGAACTTGAAGGAGAATTAATACACCTTTGATGGTTTTTGGAACAAAGTTCCCAAGGAAGGCATGTTAATATTTATAGGTTTTAGTAGACTTAAGAGCTACTACTAATCATAGGCTTTATGAGGGCTTTTGTAACACATAAGTATCAGATCTAACTGAAGTTGGAATAATAGCTTTAATAATTTTGACTTGCGTTCAGGTACTGCTAGGATTTGAACCCAGGACCTCCTGTTTACGCGACAGGCACTTTGACTAACTAAGCCACAGTACTGTGTAAAGCTATACACACAGGTAGACTTTTGGTTTTTATGTCAACAAAGCATTAGTAATAAGAATAATAATCACAGCGGCAGAACTTGAAGGAGAATTAATGCACATTTGATGGTTTTTGGCACAAAGTACCCAAGGAAAGCAAGTAAATAATCATAGGTTTTTGTAGACTTAAGAACTACCATTATACATAGGCTTTATGAGGGTTTTTTAACACGTAAGTATCTAACTGAAGTTGGAATAACAGCTTTAATAACACAAAGTTGCGTTCAAGTACTGCTGGGGTTTGAACCAAGGATATCCTGTTTACAAGACAAGCACTTTGACCAACTAAGCCACAGTATCTTGAAAGACTATATATAGGTGCTGGTCATAAAATTAGAATACCATGAAAAAGTAGATTTATTTCAGTAATTCCATTTAAAAAGTGAAACTTGTATATTATATTCATACATTACATACAAACTCATATATTTCAAATGTTTATTT